GATAAAAACCACTTCATAGTGAACGAGTGGTAAGATTTCCTACCCGAGTTCCACTCTTTGCAGCTCTTCTCTGACGAACAAAGTCCATTAAAGGAGTAACTATAGGAGCATCTTTTGGAGCACCTAAAAAGAAATCAGGAAATAATTTAAACTAAAAAAATGAAACCTTCACATTGTACCATTTTATAAATTAAATCTTGGATTGTCGTATAAGCTAAGACTATCAACTCACCAGCTCGTTCCGACTCCTTCCTCTCCAACTGTATCTCTGCACTTGGAAGATTCTCTACAGGCTTTGCAATAAATTCAAGGAACTCCTGATATTCAGGATCTACATACATATCAATGGAGCAATTGTGATTACAAACAAACAGATAATAGCATAGAAACCACATGCAATCAGCACATGAGTTAAATACCTTTCAATATGGTCCCTTCGCGCCCATCCTTTTTAGACCACTGCTTTGGAACACGCTGTGAAGGAGCATACTCAACAATTGTTTTAAATTGGGTACCTGGATGAGGCAAATAAGAGGGAAAAACCCCCATTTAGAAAGAAAATTCTAAAACGTCTATGTAATACATGAAAAGTAGGTTTTCTCATGATACAAAAAATTATATTATATCGTGTTACGGAAGGACAGAACCTTAGCTACCATGTACAATAGAAAGATACAATTAAATAGCTAGGAGTCACATAATTAACTACTGGACATCAAGTCACATCATGGATCTATCTCAAGAATGTCCTTGAACATTACCTTTCTCATTGACGAAGATGTGTCCATCAAAATACTCCGCAAACTCGACAACATCCTCTGGTCTATTAAAGTCGATGTATGCCCTAGAATAGAATAGATGCTTCTGGCTGCAAAAGCAGATGAGGGATGATTGAGGGGTAGATTGAAAAGGGCAACAGCACCTTCATAAAGCAAATATGTTGTATAATTGCGAACATATTGGTGAAAACATCATTTTGGCTGAGCCTATTTGTAAATCGGAAGGGGGCATCTTCTAAATGGTGTTTTTCTTATGAATATACATGCAAAAACTTGCAAACATATAGTTCAATGATTATCTAAATTAGCACAATATAGTAGGAAATGCATGCTAGCAAAGATAAATCTCACTCAGCCAATACCAAGATTGCAAACCACCTGAAACATTTATGCACTTAATGTGACATCATATAGTACTTGTTAACACCTCAAACATGGTAAGAATGTGAGGTTAGTAACTACAAAAAGAATGATGCATCTATGATGATTGGCTCGTATTTTGGTTACTTAAATTGGCCCTCTATA